ATGTCATTCTACTTTCGGAAAACTGAACTGATCATATGTTGATGGAATAGTTAAAAGCAAGGAAAGTATCAAGAGTAATAATCACCCTCATTGCATCACAAAATGCACCAAAATTCCACACCATATCCTTTCCCACTAAGAAGGAAATCATCATTTTTTTTTGGTGGGTAGAAGCATCAAGGCCTTGTAATCAAGTCACTTCAGAAACAGGTAATTTAAGGAAACAGTTACAGAATATAGCTTGATATTCACAACACATAAGATCTGGACAATGAGAAAGTAGTGTCCAGAAAACTCACATGTTTACATGTTTTAACTTAAATTAAACAATGAATCGATGTTATTGTGCAGTGAAGTAATAAGAGGCTCTTTATGGAATGTTTTTTTTTTTTTTCCTTTTTTTCACTAAGTTACTCTAGTTCCAACACAGATTTTGGATTTTATATTCAACAGAAAGTTTTGGCTGCTTTGCTTGATTAATTCTAAACTTTGTCATTTTGCAGTTTACTTTGCCCCTTAATTTTCTATCTCTCTTAATGAAAATCACCTGTGGAAAAGATGTTGCACTTTTTGCCATCAACCAGTGTTCCGTTTTGTTATGACATCTTTCTGATTATTGAGATTCTCAAGTAATTACTTTAAATTTGACCTGATGAAGAAAAGGAGAAAGAAATTATAAGACAACAACTTGCAAAAGCTCATTCCATAAATGCAATCCTACTTCTCTAACTATTCTAGTCTTTATAGCAAAAGTAATGGCAATAATGTAAGTACACTGAGATTTTCAAAGATATTTCGGACATTTGATCAGACTGAAGGTTTATGGCTAATAAGACTGAAGTGTATGATAAGTAATTGATTACTTATTATCTGTGATGTAACACATGGTGATTGACGTGTATAGATGTTCATGACACCCTCCCTGCCCAGCAATAAACTTTAACTTAAATCAAGTTTCAGATTTACAAGTAGGATGACAAATCTGAGGTAGGCTTAAAACAGAATACAAGACTCTTTAAAAATTAGCCACCTATTATTATATCTACTGACTTAATTAAGTAATAAAATTATCTAAAAAGTCGTTAGTGTAACATGTCAGTTATAAGAGACATGCGACATGAATGCTCATCAATAAAATTATCATAAATGGACTTATGATTTTATAAAGTACAGTGTAAAATTTAAAAAAGTCTACATTAAACTTATCATGATAGAAGGCCATCAAATTCTTATGAAAGATCGACAAGGTATTTGACTCGCATATACCAAGAGGTAGTTCATTCCACAGGTGACAGACTCGAACAAAAAAAGAATTCTTAAAGCCATCAGTCCTGCTGAAAGGGACATCAAGCGTTAAATGATCAACGTTTCTCAACAGTTTGATACAAGAGCGAAACGATACAACTTGTATATATTCTTAAAACACTTAAAAAAGTAAACTAAATCATTAATTTCTCTACAATACTGCAAAGATAATAAATTTAATTTACTAAGGCACTCGTGCTCCAAATAATCCCTACCAAGAATGAATCTTGTAGCCCTGCATTGGACTTGTTCCAAATTGTTGATGTTTCGTTTGGTATGAGGTGACCATACCACGGTCAAGTCAAGCATATTAAAGTTGTGACCGAACCCAAGCAATGTTAAGCAATTTCTTTGTACTATTATCAGTTATGTCCCGGCACGTACGGTAAAGGAGATTAAGCATTCTTTGAGCTTTTGAAGAGATGAGATCAACGTGATTATTCCAGCTCAAATCGTGGCTAACCAAAACCCCTAGGTCTTTCACAACATCAATACAGTCTAACTTAGTTCCACCAAGGTAATAGTCTTTATCAATGATTGATCTTATACGAACCACCCTTAAAACCTTACACTTCTTGGCATTAAACTCCATTTCCCAGATACAAGACCACTGAAACATTTGATTTCAGTCATTCTGCAATTTGTCACCCCGCCCAAGAATTAAGCGAAAACACTTAGATTCATTGGCAAAGAGGGGTAACGATGTTTCCTTAGAAATTACATTGGGCATATCATTGATAAAAATCAAGAACAGTAAAGGCCCTAAAATTGACCCTTGCAGGAGGAAATGAGACGACTCGTTATCTAACACAACTCTTTGTCTTCTACCAGATAAATATGATCTAAACCAGGCTAACAAAGATCCACCAATACCAAGACATTCTGATTTAAATAGGAGTTTTTCATGAGATACTCTATCGAAAGCCTTAGAAAAGTCTAAATAAATAACATCAACTTGTTATCTCCTTTCAAGAGCATTAGTGAATTGATGAACAACTTGGGATAGTTGAGAGATAGTGGATTTACCGGGCAAAAAACCATGCTGCCAGTGGGTAAGATGGGGGCAAGCAATACTAAAGATCTCATTGCGAACTTGTCTTTCCAAAATTTTAGACAGAATATCAAGAAGCAAAATGCCACGGGAGTTTGAAACCATCGTCTTATACTCACATTTATGAATAAGGACAAGATTTGT